CAACACCGTGTTGATCTATGACATGCGTACCTTCATCACAACCAAAATTCACTTCCTTAGTGAGTCTTCGTCTTCGCCCTTCTCTCTAACTCCATAGCCCCAATAATCGCGCAACCAACTCCACTCCCGTCTTCTGCGCTGGTAATCGTAATCGGGCCATCTCCTCCACAGTCCTTTTCCTTCCATCCCAGCACTTCACCCAGTGCCTTAGCCCATCTCCTCTTAAATTTTGGATGCTTGTTTGCCACACTCCCGTCGGCAGCTACATGACCCTTCTCGATACTTTCCATGGTGCAGATGGCAGCTACACCACAGGCACACAGTCGCGCACCACGCACAGCGATCATCTCAGCTAGTCTACGCGAGAGCTCGATCTCGACGTCTGTGGGCTGGATCGAGAGTGTAGAGTGGAAGAGTTCACGTGTTTTGGTGAACTTGGGCGACTCGTCGTCTTCTATCTGAGATAGGAAGCCTGTATCGATACTGTATGGCTCACGCAGCTTTTGTAGTCCCTGGTCTGAGGCTTGACTGAAAACGAGACTGCGATCGAGGAGATCTACCAGTATGAGACGAAAGATCTCGCCTAGGTACAGGCCAGCGGAGAGCTTCTCGAAAGTCTGCTCTCCAGGTCGCGGGCTCTCTGCGTCGATCTGCTCGTCGTACTTTGTGAGGGGAAGCACACGCTTGGCTTGATCGAAGGCGCCATATTCGCAATTGATCGCCATTTTCTCTTCACCCTTCGTTGCGCCGTTGTGGGATGATGCATCTGTGATTCTGTCGTCGTTGGAGTCCAGTTTTCCAATTCTTGAGAGGCTGGCCATGAAGGCTGCATTGCAACCAGTACCAAAGATAGCACCAACAATCGTTTCGGGGTCGTTGTAGGCGGAGGCCACCATGGCACCGACGGTATCGTTGATGACGCAAATCAATTCGACCGGCAGCTTCCTTTCTTGCAGCTTCTCTCGTAATTGCTTCGCGGCGTCCTGACCTTCTACGCCCTTGATGTCGAAACCCTTGGTCCATGTCTGCAGGACTGCATGGTCGATACGTTTCTGTGTCGCTGGGTAACTGAATGTGAAACCCAATGGCATGGGCTTCTCCACGGTGTATTGTCGATCTAGTTGGTGGTCCTGGATGAATGCCGCCACTTTTTCCGTAACGAAGTTCCAGAGACTATCGGCATCGCCGGTCTTCATCTCCTCCGGTAGCTTGTATTGCTCTTGCTCCATGCTGTGTTTCCCATCTCCTTCTTTCCCGCCTTCATCTCCATGCAAATCTACTTTACACACTCTCAAGTTTGTGCCACCAAGATCAATAGTCAATATCGTACCCTTCTCTTTTCCCGAAGGCAAATTATGCACCCAGGTGATGTTCATAGGGATGCCCTCTTGCTTGTCTTTGGTAAGGCCTTCTTCCAACTCTTCTCTGAAGCGGCTGACGATTTCCTTCAGTTTAGAACCGGAGATCCAAAACTGTTTGTCGAGCCGTGCGAGTTCATCGTCCAGACTTTGTGGTAGATCGGCCATCCTCTCGAGTTCAGAGCGTTGGCGCCATGATGTATTCGCCTCCTCGTCTATGCGCCGGCCTGCAGAAGTAGACATAACGAAGATTCAGTATTTCAGAATATGGGAAAGGTGATGAGAATATCCTCAAAAGTATACAGACGTGCTGTCTAGAAGCGAAGCGTATGTACAGGTTGTTTTGAATTATTTTCATGTTCATATTTACAGCGCTCGACATGATGACATCACACGGCGCTTGCCACGGTCCTGACTCCCAATTCAGGCATTTATCGCAAGTGTAGCGGATCTTATCGTTCCAGGAGGCCTTCTTTCGTGTAAATGACGTGCGTCTGGCATAGCAGAGTGGGAGCCGCGTGGGTGCCGCGTGGGTACTGCTAAAGCCTCGGGCCGAGAACCGCCGTGCGTCTTTGTTGTTGAGTGGGCCGTGGGTTAGGGGCTTGAGAAAGGCCAGAAAAGCAAGCGAGAGGTATGCGAAAATAGATAAAATTCTAATGGTATGACTGATGTGTTCGCGCTTTCTTTATGCAGCGCCCGTGGTATCGACCGAATCCTTTACTCCGTCTAATGCATAATGTACCGTCTTGTGATTATTGTAATCAAACAAAGGAAATAGAGGAAGCTGTGAGTTCAGCAAACGAATGTTTCGACAATAGTCGTATGGCGGGCCGCCTTGTGCAACGAGGTAACAAGACTTCCGAGTTGGCTGCGCAGTAGCTGTGGTTTACGCAGCGCACTTCTGCCCGAACATGCCATGCTCGATTGTAGCGTGGTTTGTTCGGACGGTTACGGGTGCGTCTTGTGTCGCTAGATGCTCCTTCCCCTCCTTTGCCGCGGCTCTTGTGTTGAGCAGACTAAGGTAAGTCTGCCACCCAATGGCAATGACACCACCAAATATGCTTCTGTATTCTATCGGGATGTACGTGAAGCTGAATGCCGTGACCATGGGCCAGACTTTGCAACTGTTGATCCAGCTTGTTGGCACTGTGTTCTTGATGCGTTCGACGATTTCGGGTAACGTAGCGCCGGATAGAAGCGACTGCATGCCGAAGAAGTAGGAGTTGAATAATGGTGTGAAAAACGCCTGGTTTATGAAGACCTGTTGGACAATGAGCAAGCGTTCGAAGAGGATACAGTAGAGGCACATACCTTGGTCGAGAGCGACAGGATCTTGGAGCTGTAGTTGAAGTTGTTTGACAGCCACATGAACCACTTGAACGATGGGATAGAGCTGACTCCTCCAATTATCAGGGCTCGCCCTGTTCGGGCCCAGTCACGGCCGTCGCTCCATTCTTGAACCCAGCCCTTATCGTCCGCATCCTCTGCCACTTTATGGGTTTCCTCGGGCGCAATGGTCTGCGCAACGAGGTCGCCGATAAAGTATATGACGAGCGAAGATATGAGTTGTGTCCTGTATGGCCTCCTTTGTTGTGCGCGACCGTATGCGCGGAAGGGTCCGACGATGGGCTGGAGCCAAAGCCAGCTTGGCCCAGGAATCGTCTGCGCATTCTCCGCGACCCTGCCTGCTGTGTTTGGCCCCGAGACATGTGGCCTGCGGACGACATTCGAGGGGTGGACGTTGATGCGTGCGCGTTCGAAGGTGCCGGGATTGCTGTTCCGAGGGGAAGGGGCGTTCGGAATGCGCCTCAAGCCGACACGGGTAAAGGCGCAGGAAGGAGCGATCATGATGGCGGTTTGTGAGCTCTCATGAGGTTGGAGAAGAACTTAAGGGGGCAGGTGAAAGTGAGGCATGTTGTGATGTTTTAAGACTTGTCAATCTCCGCAGAGGCCCAGACACGGTTGTCCGAGTGTCGGCGGCGAAATGATGAGATTCAGGGTCCTGTTGCGCAAATAGCCGGCTTAGTCAACCATGGCATTTGACCTGGCCCGGGTGTCCCAACACAGCCAGGTACACGCCGTGACATGCGCACTGGGGTTACCGGACCATCACACACGTGGCACAGCTGACGTCTCTGCGCCAGTCACCGTCACTACAACTGGCTCCGTCTCTTTGCGTCTGGAAGCCACTCCTGAAACACTCTCCTGAGGCCCTGCCAGTCACCGTCGATGGTCTCGCGCTTCTCGTCATCCACGAACTCCGCATTGTTCATCCCACCGAAATCAATGGCCCAAGCGTTCATCTCTTCGTCAATGAGAATATTCATCGGGTGGACATCGCCCCACACAAGGCCGTGAGCGTGGAGCTCCCGCACGATGGCTGTGAGTTGTTCTTCCCACTGTTTATGCGACTCTCGTCTGTCCTGAAGGCCAGCACTTCGCAAGTGGGTCCCCATGCTGGATGAAGTGATCAGTGTCATCAACATGCCGATGGTAGCCTCGCCCGACACCACCACACCCTGCAGTCTAGGCACTCTGAGCCGAGCTGCCAGACCGACTTCGTCGATGCGTCTGAGTACACGGAGCTCACGCTCGAATTCTGCCTCACGGAGCTCCATTCGCGGTTTGAAGTAAAGCGGGACACCCTCTGCCGTTACTACTCGGCCCTGAATCGCATCGAGATTCTTCCCCTCATTTGCTGTGCGCGCTATCCAAACGTTGCGCGCCTCGAAGTGACGTAGTGTTTTGCATGGTCCAGGCAAGTCCGCGGTGCGCATAGGGGAGGTGAAGAAAGCTGGCGTGTACGCGCACTGGTCTTCTCCCACGATCCGTACATCCTCGTCACTGTCTCCTTCGATGAGCTCTAGATCATAAGTAGGCGAGTGGAGAAAGGCTTCAAGGCTAAGGTCCTGGAGTGACGTCCGCGGAGCCAAGCTCTCAAGAAGAGACTGGCAGTGTTGATGCATTAGGTCGAAAAGTGGCTTGTCTCTCGTCTTGCTCCGCAAACGCCCTTTCCGAAGCTCCATCTCTTGTAGCAGCTTTTTACCAAAAATTGTGTCCTTCACTTGCGCGACATCGGCTTTGACGACGAATCGTGCGTGGCCGCGCAGCACTGTAATTTGACATGTATCTTCAATAGCAAAACCTGAGGGACCCATGCTGATGTGATAATCTTGATCCATGGTGGACTATCTCAGCGCGTACGAAAAGTCCGCGTGTAGAGTTAATGTCTAAAGTGTCAGTCGCGAAGTATTGCAATTCAGGCAGCCACCTAGCCAGGTACGCGAGGTTTCTCACATCACGTGTTTGGGCCACCTAGGCAGAACCAGATCCGTCACATATGAGCTGTTCACATTCTCTTCTGACAAACGTGGAGACACCGGAACAAGGAATAGAGCAACTGTAGGCAAAGAGAGCAGCGAGACCGGTAAAGCCGAAAAGGCATCAAGTCCAATTCGTCGTGAGGATTATGTATTTACATAAGAATCGAATGCAGCGACGCTCAAGCCGCTTATTGCATGAGGCAAAGCCTACTAAACACTAACAAAAGTCTACCAAAAAGAAGTCCATCATTAACCACACACAAAGACACCAGCATCACGTTTTTGGTGTCCTGATAACGCCCGCAACTCAGACGAGCGCTTACAAGCACTGGGAGTACCAGTCATTCTGCTTGACGCACTTGCAGCCTGAAGCGCAGCTGGTAGCACCAGTGTAGCCCTGGCCACCGCACTGGCCGTACTTCTGAGCGGTAGCACCGCCGGCAGTAGGAGCAGGCTTAGCAACAGTGGCGAGAGTGGTCTTGGCTGTGGTAGTGGGGGCAGCGACCTTGGTAGTAGTAGGGGTAGCGACCTTGGTAGTAGTAGGGGCAGCAGCCTTGGTGGTGGTAGCAGCGGGTGCGGCGACCTTGGTGGTGGTAGGCTTAGCAGGGGCAGCAGGAACAGCAGGGGCAGCAGCACCGGCACCGTTCCAGAGCTTCGGGCCCGGGATGGGGTAGCTGGAGTATGAGCCGTAGAGGTTGAAGTGGACACCAGCGTCCTGAGCGCTGAGGTGACCAGGGATAGCAACACCTGCGGGCAGAGCAGTAGTGCCAGAGCCACCGACCTTGACGTGAATGCACTCCTGGTAGAATTGCGCACCACCAATGCGATCACCCTCGTGGAGAGCAATGATCTCGGGGCGGATGATGTACTCGCCAGGTGCAACCTTGGGCAGAGTGAACTTGTGCTGTCCTGGCTTGCCAGTGTATGAGCCCTTGATAAGCTTGTCAACAGCCCATGATTTGCCATCGTAGCCGTCCTCGGCAATCTTTGTCCATGACATGGAAGAACCAGCCTTGGACATGTAGACAGTGATGGGTCCCATGTGGGATGGGTCGATGATGTCGTCGCTAGCGTCAGCGTTGTTGTGGTGCCATTCAACCTGGAGAAATTCGTTAGTGCTTGTTATATTCAGAAGGTATCATAGAGATACTCACAGCAATCTCATCACCACCGTTGACAGCAACGGACTTGGAAGCCTTGATGCCGGCTACGTTGCACTCCATAGACTTGGAGGTGACATCAACGATGGGGTTGTTGTTGGGAGGAGAGTCAATGTATCCACCAGCAACATTTCCGAGACCCTGGGTCTTTCCGTTGACAGAAATGCTGTAAACAGTGGTGTGGGCGCTAGCAGCACCAGCAAGAGCGAGAGCGAAGATTGAGGCCTTCATTTTGGAGTAGGAACTTTGAAGTGTTGGTTGGGTGGGTAGTGGAGTAATTGTTCTTGTAAAGAGGGACTGTCTGAAGAGAACGACGAAGTAAAGATCGAAGAATTCAAAGACTGGAAAAGAACGTGTAGAGAACGAGTGTGTTGAGCGTCAAGCGTACCCCTTGAACAAAGGCAGACATTGTGGGCTTTATACTTGCTGAATCCTTCCATACACGGAATCACTGTCCCAAGACATCGCCATCTCGCTTGCTGATTACATGTCAGTTCAGTGCTCCGCCTAAAACAGCCACCAGGAACGTGGCGGCGGTTAGACGTGCAGGCAAACATGCAATACCATCGTATTCTACGGGAGACCAGTGCTTAGAAGGGGCTAGAGCCGCCGTTAGAAGCAGCTGGGGCCGTTGGGCGGAAGCTGACGTGACAGGTGAACGTATAGCTATACCGTATGGGGCATGCAGGATCCAAGAGGCGGTGTTGCGACACTGTGCTTCCCCTGTGACGATCGGTTCTAGGTGCAGCATCTTGGGTTCTTGATTCAAGAAACATGAAACACGAGCGAGGACATCCCTTCGGATGATCTAGCGAAAATCCTTCTAGAGCGATCGAAGCCCGAGAGCCTCGGTATCGTCTTGCGAGAAGGCTCCTGACAACGAGAAAAGGCCGCTATACGGCGTTATGTACTTGACATGCAGTCGCTGTGACTTCACGTCTCGGGCCTGGAAACACGTGGAGCAAGCATGGAATATTTCCAGCGACCCTCATCTCGGTTCAGTGTCTAGAACGCCATATCCGGCCGCCCAGAACAGTACTGAAAAGCGGCGTCAAGATGTTCCGTCATGCCGCAGGCGCCCACGAAGAGTGGAAATGAGCGAGGGAGCACGCGTCGCGTTGTCGAGGGATGTCCAATTTTTCAAGAGACGAAAGCACCAGAAGTTCGCCGGTGAATCTAATGTGTACGCATCAGTAGCCGTCGTGCAGAACGATCATAGTGACTGTTGTGACGATGCTGTACTGGAGTCGTTATGATCAGTTGGAGGGATTGTGCTGATCCTTGGTTGCTGCACGAGCCAACAGCACTTTCCGAGCCCGCGGCTCAGTGCCTTGGCGTTCACAAATCAACCCCGAGGACGGGTTGATCGGTCCGCCCAGAACATAAGTATCCAATACATACAGCAGGTTGTGTGTTTCATGACAACTACTTCATGCAAGCCTCAGGGCCAAATCAAGATGAGCGCTGGCTGAGCAGGAATGTGCTCCCTCTTCCTGGACGTTCAGATCCGACGCGCACCTTGATGCACACCAGATGGTGCAAGAAATGGAGAAGGGGGCATCACGACTAGTTAGGGGGTGTTGATGTTACTATTCATTGTTCGAATTATCACCGTGTACTGCGTGGGGTCGCGATAGATATCGTGGATGACATCTAGCCATGATTGTGCCAGGTCACTGAGAGCTCTGCACGGAAGCAGCCCAGCAAGATCTTAGCCACCGTCAAACCGCTCTTCACAGCTTACCAGACCATACACTTTCAATGAATTGGCTCTCCTTCCTTTCTTGTCGAGCGAGCTTCTGGTGGAGATATCACTCAACAACTTCAGGCCCAGTACAAGTAGGCTCGAAGGCCAGGGGTTCTGACTCCAGGGAAGCGTTGAGCGGCAAACGGGGACCGCTAAACATCAATGTGATGGGGCAATGTAAGCCATGCGATGTGTCCGAGGACGAGAAGCAACTCCTGACGTATGGGCAAGGACGCAGCGCGGCGCTTTGTAGATGGAATTGCGGTACGGCGAAAGCCGCGATAACTGACATAACGCATTCCGACACATAGGGGAACAAAAATGAAAGCAAGCGCGAGCGACGCGAATGCCGTCTTTGAAGGAATCTTCGGCTGTGAGAAGAGATAACCTCAGGAGGTTGGGAGGGAGAGCGCGGCCAGATGCGGCTGCGCGCCTTGGCAAAAAGTGACACCTGAGAAAACAATGCCCATGCTACCTTGTAGCCAACGTGGTTCCCCCGACACCAGACGAACGGGACACTCCGACATCACGAGGGCATAGTCCTCATATCTAGAATTCAAGCACGGCTAGTACCGCAAGGTGTTGTCTTCGGCGGAAGGTCTCCCCAAATACTCCTTTTCTCCAGCCAGCAGCAGCTCAACCTGAGCATCTTTACAGACCTGTGCTTTGCTTCTAAGAGCTTCTTGAACAGCGAAAGCCGATCTCTTCTGGTTACATGCAGAAACAGATTTCCAGTTGCAGCAAGCGCACAATGATACTTCCATGTACCATGCTCTCACAGCACGTTCAGCCAGGAACATCGGGCATCGTTTCCGTCGACTTGACATCCATCTACGGAGCTTGTACACATGGGAACTAAGGCTTATCAAGCTTAACCAATGGTGTTGCATCATACCTACCTTGCCCATGGATCATCGAAATCCCGCCGAAAAGTAGGTGAGCCGATTGTTACAGTCTAAGGAGGGTGTAGTCGGAAGAGCTTACGGTCTGGGGCATTGTTCCGGGGTCTTGGGAGACTTCGAGCAGGCCAGGTTCCCGGGAAATGATAACGGCAAATATTAAGATTGACCGAGTAAATTTTCCGAGGCTGAAGTACGCGGGGAGACGAGAAATGCCAATGCACGCGACTAGAAGAGGTAAGCCCATGCTCTTCTCATTGGTGAGGTAATTTGATTTCTCCGTAGTGGTCCTACACATGTCAGGTGTTCGCGTTAGCACCACTTGCCACGAGAGGATTGCCACTACAATAGAAACATGTGGATGATCATTCGGAATCTAGGGACGGATCGCGCTTGACGAAGCTCATAATATATGAAGGTCCACTACAAATATCACCACCGTCTAAAGTCGAGTAACAATGCCATGGGGGATACCTGTTAGGAGGACGCAATTTGGCAAGTACAAAAGGTCAAACGGTCCGCACGAAGAGATGGATTCCAGAACAGCAGGGAACTTTCGAAACCAACGCCCAGCCGCCAAACATCCACCATGAAGGTCGTTTCTCTCATCCTTGGCGCCCTCGCCTCCGTTGGCTTCGCGCAACAAGCCACGCTCTGCAAGGACTACGAATACTTCTCCAGCAACGGCTACCAGCTTAACAACAACATCTGGGGCCGCAGCTTCGCCACCTCGGGCTCGCAGTGCACCTACGTCGATAGCGTGTCAGCCACTGGCGCCAAATGGCACACCAAATGGACATGGGCCGGCGGAAAGGACAACGTCAAGTCCTACGTCTACTCCGGACGACAGATCACCAAGAAGAAGGTGAACCAGTACACCAACCTGGCGACGGAGGCCTACTGGGTCTACGACACCACCAACCAGCGCAGCAACGTCGCATACGACCTGTTCACTGCTGCGGACATCAACCACGACACGTCCAGCGGTGACTACGAGCTCATGGTCTGGCTCGCCAGATACGACGTCTGGCCCATCGGTACCTCGCAGGGTATGGTCACTGTTGCTGGCCGATCCTGGGAACTCTTCTACGGCCCCAACGGCGCCATGAAGGTCTACAGCTTCGTGCCCCCTGTTGGCCAGCCCATCTACAACTTCAAGGCCGACCTCAAGGAGTTCTTCACCTACCTCACCAACAACAAGGGCTACCCTGCTTCCAGCCAGAACCTCATTAGTAAGTTTCTCAGTGCTACTACCATGGCAATGCGTATGCTAACCTCCATCGTAGCTTACCAATTCGGTACCGAGGCCTTCACTGGTGGACCTGCTACGTTCACCGTGAACCAGTGGTCCGCTAACGCTTGGTAAATTGTCGTTCGCAACGATCATAGTAGTGGTGCGAGACACGCGCGATCGTCTGGAAGCCTGGAGCAGTTGCGTCTATTTGGGACTGGAATTGCAACCTTTCTGTACATACTTACACACTTTGGTTCTCAAAGCGTATATATGAATGAACATTTACATTTGCAACGAAATTTTAACATCGAAAAGCGAAGATCCTGATATGCATCAGGGTAAGAGGCTGCTGACTTCTACAAGAACGAAGCCAGGCCTATGACACCAGCCATAACGGCCCAACCCAGACTTCCCATCGTAGTCTTGAGCGCATTGCCTGTGAACGGCTGCGGCGCACTGCCATTGCCGTTCATGCCTTGCCCTGCAACAGCGATCGTGCTTGCACTCTTCTCCGTTAACTGGCCATCGCCACCCCTCAATTGCCCTCCTCCACTGATACTCGATGGATCTCCTGAAGAGCCCTGCACACACCCCATCGTGCCGTTGGCACGAAACATGCGGTCAGCAACACCCTTCCACACCTCCGTTACATCGGAGATCATCTTGCCCGTAAACCACATCCTGCAATCTGCGGCTTCATACATGAACTCTAACGGCGTACCGCTCGCATCGTTCTGTCTCAGGTTGTCTTTGAGATTGACGCCGCCGGCGATCTGTCCGCCATTGTATGCAGATCGCTTGAAGAGTTGGGTTGCGAAAGCGGTTTTGCCAAGATCCGTTTCGTCCCAGGCTTTTCGTTGCTCGGGTGAGCCCAGAAAATAGACGGACTGCATACGGACTTGGATGTCGTCCCAGGCGAAAACTTGGGCGCCTTTTGTACCACCAACTCCTTGCATCGGGCCGGGCCTTGGTCGTCCGCCAACGGCGATCGTGCGTACTGCGCCTTGGTTCTTGAGTAGTTCGGAGATGATCGCGCAGGTTGAGGAACACATGCCGTCGTGTAGCATGACCATGTCTTGGGCTTGGAAGGGCTGCGGTGTGCTGGTTTCGTTGGCATTGTCGTTGTAGCCAATTACTGAAAAGCCCTGGTATGTTGTGCTGACGCTGTCCGAAAAGTTGTACCGCAGCGTCGTGGTGAAAGAATCGTTATTGATCTGCTCGGGACCAAAGAGTTGGTCCCACCCACTCATGGCCTTGTTGTTGACATCGAGGATATGCTGATAGTTGAATCCGCTTGTGAGGGCAAAGATATCGGCTTGTGTGGTGGCCCGACCAAACACCTCCATGAAGG